GAGTTTTGTATATCGTAACCTTAGATGAAAATTTCGATTCGCACTAGGGAAAGTCTGTGCTCCACGGCAAGCTGATATCACGGGGCGTCCTGTGCTGTCATTGTCCTTCAGGGAAGACACTTTACTGCAATGGGCCTGGACAGCATTCGTAAGTCCTTCCTTGTGTTGTACAGTGAGGTAGCCACCAGCCATTACAAGGAGGCGCCTCCAGGATGTCCAAAGGTAGAGCCGAGCACAGCAAACAATCAACTTAGCATTGTCATATTAAATAAATATCAACATTTATTGTCATTATTTAGCAAGGAACATTGTCAGCTTTTATTGTCATCATTCAGCGAGGATCATTGTCAGCATTTATTGTTATCATTCAGCGAGGAACTTTGTCAGCATTTATTGTCATCATTCAGCAAGGAACATTGTCAGCATTTATTGTCATCATTCAGTAAGGAACATGGTCGGCTTTTATTGTCATCATTCAGCAAGGAACATTGTCAGCATTTATTGTCATCATTCAGCAAGGAACATTGTCGGCATTCAGCGAGGAACATTGTCAGCATTTATTGTCATCATTCAGCGAGGATCATTGTCAGCATTTATTGTTATCATTCAGCAAGGAACATTGTCAGCATTTATTGTCATCATTCAGCAAGGAACATTGTCGGCTTTTATTGTCATCATTCAGCAAGGAACATTGTCAGCATTAATTGTTATCATTCAGCAAGGAACATTGTCAACATTTATTGTCATCATTCAGCAAGGAACATTGTCAGCATTTATTGTCATCATTCAGCGAGGAACATTGTCAACATTTATTGTCATCATTCAGCGAGGAACATTGTCAATATTTATTGTCATCATTCAGCAAGGAACATTGTCAGCATTTATTGCTGACGTCATTCATGGTCGTTATATTTACCATCTTCTAGCTATTGAACCAAAAGACAATTGGTAGACGACAAAATAAACACAAACGGTGATTATTGATGTCATCGATTATCCTGTCCGTTGACCCTGACATGAAAGGTCAATGAAATTAAGCACCCATTATGTACAGTGTTCGAGATCACATGTGTTAGACAATGTTGCTTGATTTTATTTTCCTAGGTTTGCTCTCACCGGCATGCTACCGTTTAATTGTACTTTTAAAATGTGCATATGATTTTGACGTTGATTTCAATTTTTCCCTATTGAAATTTACGAAATTAATGTTTTTTGGTCTTATTGTACCTCTCTTTCCATTTTTGTTATTTATTTAGACATTTTTTTCCGTGATCGTCTCAAAGGTTTTTAACTGTTAAGACCATGGTGTCATTGGTGGGTCCCGGATGGAAAAGATGGCTGCAAGATGTGAATTACTTCATTGTGTGCACCTGCTATGTCTCCTTCTTTTTTGTTTTGAACAGTGATATTGGTCTGTGTGTCTTTTGTGGAGTCTTAAATTAAAAACTTGTATGGCCATTAATTCCCGTCAGAATGACGTAGATTCTTAAACAAAACGCATGTAAGCAACTTAATACTGTTACTTTTCTGTATCAAGAAATTTCATATATCAGAATTATACAACCAGATTGATATTAGCTCCACGTTGTGTTGCCAAAAAATCTTAATTTCACTGTATTCACGGATATTAGCTCCACGTTGTGTCGCCAAAAAATCTTAATTTCACTGTATTCACGGATATTAGCTCCACGTTGTGTCGCCAAAAAATCTTAATTTCACTGTATTCACAGATATTAGCTCCACGTCGTGTGTTATAACTTTATTATAATTATTTATTTATCGTATTTTAACATAGACATTGTTATTGCTCAGTTAAGCATTTTACATATTGTCAGTATCTTGCCCGCTGCATTTACTCATCTACTACACGTCTATACAGTCATACTTGGTAGTTTCCTACTGCAGGGTATCAAACTACCAGCGATTCCCTGATATCCTTTTACATATGTATAGTGTTCACATATATCTCTTATAACAAATGTTTATAACTGATATAATTAATGAACTAAAGAGGAGGCATCCTTAAGCGTTTTATCATTAGCCTTATATTCAGTAACCTTTATACCAATTCCTCATTATCAGAAAAAAAAATAAGAATAAAAAATACAAACATGTCAACCTTTCCATAATCCAAATTCAGGTAGGTAAATTAAGAAGAGAAGAACGATTAACACAGAGACTCATGAAAAAAGTTCAAGGAGAACAAGACCAGGTGTTTCTGAAGAGAAAGCGACTTCTGTTTCATCGACGACAGCCGCCATGTAAACCTTGGTCAATCCCGTTCTGAAATAACAAGGTATATAACAACAGAACAAACAGGCAACACGTACAGTTTCATGTCGCACAAAGAAAAAAGAAACATTTCTCAATCGGATCACTGTGACGACAGTTAACCATAATTTTCATCAACCTGCATCTTTTGAAATCCTGTTTTACGAGTTTGTCCTTCAGGTGACGACTTCTTGCACGGAAATCGTGATAATGGGAGCAGGCCTCTGAATATCGAATCAACAAATGGAAAATGAACAATAGGGATAGAGTTTGGATAATCGTGACTACTGCCCCAGTACATTATCAAAAGTTGCATCTCAATTTCATTTTTTGTCTTTCTGTCTTTTCTGAATAACATAGGTTTTAAAAAACCATCATGACATTTTAACACGTTTTGCTTTCATGTTGAGCGCCCGCTCAAGTGAGGGAGAACATTGCCCATGTCTCAATATAAAACTGATGTCATAAAAGGAATGATTATGCTTTTTTTGTCGCCCATCACGAATTTGCATGAACAAGACTTATCAGCATGTTGTCATAATGATGTGACCTTCACGGTTGTAATGTTATTGTGTCCATGTAATGACATTTCTGTGTGACAACACTATTAATACGTCCGTCAATGCTCCCTTCACTACCTTCATTACCGTCATATGTCCATAGTTGTTGAGAAGGCGTAAAACTTTAATAATGAAAAACACTCGGAACTATCAGCTCGTCGAAAACCGTGTAAAGTTAACACCTTTGATAGAATACCCGAAAGCTCCAGTCAATACGCAGCAACCGTCGTTAATTATGTTTCATTAATGGAATTAAATGATGAATGAGGATACACGGAAATGTTGTTCTCTAAGCTGACAAATAGCTGTCTGTGAATAGAGAATCTGATAACAGCGTATACACTACGTTTTTAAATACAATTATATAAAAAAAAACACAGACAAAAGCGTCCACTTTGTCAGATGGCCCGACAGAAAAGTCACGTCACGACGTAAAGAAGCCCGCATAACCGGGAAGTATGCGGAAGACATTAAGTTAAACTCATCCTGTAGGGACATACAGATATAATTTCTATATTTAGGAAGAGCATTTTTATTAAAAAAAGGAAAGGTGAAAAATAATATTTCAAATACGATGCAAAATGCTTATATTTTTTGTGATTTATTTGATAATAATATTTCATGATGAGACAAATAAATCATCATGGAATGGCGTTCCTGTTAGTTAAGACGTTTCTATTTGTCCATACCGGGGCTCCAAAAGCCTATATGGATTTAATATATCCTTGCATTTCAGGCTTAATGTATTGTAATGTGAGAAGATCGAACCAGCGGTATAATGCAGTTTCATTCACTGTATCAACGTTGTTAAGTGTATAATCTCCATAGAGATCTACGCTTACGTTCAAATTAGAACATACTATTTCAGTTGAAACCAACCACACCACATGTAAATAGATTGGATTTGTATATAGTCGAGATTCTTGTATTTTCCTTAATATCACAAATATCCTAATAAGGCTGGAATAGTGTGATGGTCAGAACTGCGGGTAATTATCATCTAGACGACTTGGTGACGTAATCACATGATCTCGAGAGCCAGACAGGTCATAGGTCATACTTTGTCGTGATTTCGTAAAACAATACATGTTTCTGGATAAAACTCTGAAAATTTTGTTAGAATTATTTCAAAGGATACAATACAATGCGATGTCGAAATGACTTTACACACAATAGATGGAAAGCATGAGATGGCTGAGGCTAGACGTATAATTTATCTTATAAGTATTGGCGGTACCACCCCTTAGATCTTTTGGTTTTTATACTTATATATCCGGTTTGAACATCCATGATATGGACTATATATGTCATATGTCACGTAACAGTTCTTTTATTATATCACGTGACGGTTGAATTACAGTGTAGAGGTTTTTTATGACCTGGATTGCCCACTGTAGAGCATAGTGTTATGTTAAAATCATTTTTGTATTCATTGCTTGTATCGTTTTTGAATTCGTATTTGTTTTTAAGTTATCAATATCTCTTTATCAAAACAATGAAGACATCTATTATTGATAAAAAATGTCAAAAATTTCAATAATAAAGATCGCAACTTCATTCTATGGACGGGAACTATGAATGTACACGCTTATAGTTCCTTGAAATCATGATGAGTGAAATTGTTTTTGATTTTCAACCTAATAGTTATCAAATGAGTCAAAATTACCATTACGTTATAGGCGGTGACGAAACTCCACCATCTGTTTCTTAATGTATTGCTTGTGGATATTGAACAAAACACACACATTTGGATAAGATACAGTAGAGCTGAGCAATGAATAAACCTGCAACATACAGCGGTTCGTCCTTCTAGGACTCGTCAGTGATGCTAAAAGCCTAAATGTTAAACCTAGGAGGCGATTGAGGAAAATGCAAGGTGATCGGATCTAGATGGGGAGGTGCGTTAACTCCATAATTAAGTAATTTCGTGATTTTCGTATATTTGGTAATCTTAGGAGAACGTCATGTACATGTGTATGTTCTGAGCAGCGCCACCTTTTGAATGCATTAAAACGCAACATGCAAGTTATGGCGAGGTGAAGTTACCACAGTAAAAATATTCTACTGAGAACAACAAAGAAACGATTGTGTCAATAGCAAAATGTTTTATGCAAAAATAATTATGACAACAAATAATCAAACAAAATATCAACATATTCATTTGTTCCTTGCAGAACGTGTTAATCCGAAAGACGTTTAGCATTGATTAAATAGGTGACACAAAGTTCGGTAAAACTATAAGACACTTCATATGACAATATATATCTTTATCATAAAATAGGTTATTTCAAAATACTTCCAAGTACGTTAAATCTGTTTGACTTCGATCCGAATGTAATATAGGAAAAATAATATTAAGCAAGATTGAAACTGTACAACAAAAATGCAAAAGTGCTTCACTTATGTATCAGCCAGAATCTATAACCGCAGAATATTTATCTAATTATCTCCCGAGACATGATGTATCCGAAAGAAGTTTAATTTGTTTGATTAAATACAAAAGTGTGAAACATCTTGTAGAGTCAGAGCTCACTAATCTTTTTGTGTTCGCTGTATAGTGCATTTTTTGATAATTTCACCAAATAATTTTTTCAGTGATTTTCGTACTTGGCCATTCACAATACCGTACACGATAGGGTTAGTTGCATTTCCGATGAAAAACAGATACCTTAATACCATGTTGCTTGTAATTCCGAAAATATCCAACCAGAATGGTAGCCATGTTATAAGATATATCACCGTACAAAGAAAGAGCATTTTTGCAGTTTTTCTATGGTTACGTCTCCGGACCTTATCTCCAGTCTCCTTACAACTTGGTCTTACTCTTTTGAAAACGTCATGAAATTTGTAGCTATTTCCGGCTGTATTTTGCTTTGTTTTTTGCACCACTGTCGTCACAACATCTGCAGTTACCTCTTGCTCTGGCAAGGAAGTGTTAGTAACCACAGCCGTACCTTCATCAGGAATGTGAATTTTGGAATATTCCCACTCTATCTTGTTTTTCTGTGGGTCACTGTACGATTGACTAGCTTCCGAAGTCAATGAAAATTCCCTGGGAATTCCTGTCATTCGTTTCCGGAGTTTAGTCTTTTTCCAGAGAACTGTATACACGATAACATACAATACGACTATAAGGGTAAGCGTCAGCAGGAACGTGATCATCAGTCCACCTTGATAGATTGTTACTAGTTTCTCGCCCAAAATAGCGTACGTGAAATGACAAAATTTACCGCGTGTGACGCTGTGATCGTACGCACAATTGACGTTGTTTACTTCCTCGTCAGACACAACAGCAAATATACCAATAGATGGTGCTCCAAATAACATGCTACATAGTGCTATGAATACCATTCCCCTGTTGACATTTTGGACCGACATCCGAAGAGTAAGTCGACACACGGCGATATAACGTTCCACTGCTATAGCACAAAGAGTTATATTTGACGCGGCAATAACAAAGTGACGTAGGAATTCAAAAGTACGACAAACAACGTCATTTCGTACCACGTGTAGCTCGTACACCATAGTATAGGGCATGATAAGTGAACATACCAACAGGTCTATAATAGCCAAAACTTTTATAAAAGTATTAGCCGTTGTGTGGTCGTTTCGATGGAAATACACTATAAGGATAGGAATATTACCTACCGTTCCGATAATTGCAAATATCGTTAGATATACTGCTAAAGCAATATACTCCCATGTCCATGGTATGCTGGTATTTGATGTACCCAATAGTTGGAAGGCAGTTAGAACTGACTTGTTTGCTGTCACTGACCTGTTCTCCATTACGTCGTTTTTGGACAGGTCGTCCTGGTACCCCACCCAGGGCTGCTTTTCTACCTCCCTCATGCACTCTGCGGCGTTAGCAAACATTTATATGTCTTACGAGGCACATTGTTGTTGCTAAACGTGTCATTTTTGAAGTATAAAGAAATGTGAAGTGGTCTGTACTTAACCTACGTACTTCATCACAAACGTGCCGTTAAATCCCCGGAAGTCACCAATTGAGATAACTCCGAACCTCTGAAATGTTCTATACGGGCTACCGTATATTATAGTAAAGTTATCTATGCGCGCGCATTTTACAAAACGTGTAAGTGAAAACGTATCTATCAGTCAGTAACAATATATATGCTTAGCGCGCTTGTGACATGTCCGAACTTCACCGCGGTCTTGCAGGTGTATTACTGCTGTCGTGAAAGCAGACGGACACATTGACGGCTTAACCAATCACAGCCTTGCTTCGATTCGCCGTACTAGGCTTTGCAGCAACGATAAGTGAAATACCCGTACTGTTGGATTTTATAGCTAACCCACAAACACACGCCACTCTCTGCCAATGGTTGTATATGAAACAATTGTAATGCTCTAACATATGTGAGAATATGATGTTTTTACGGATATCCTATCGGCTTTTAAGGTCTTTTTCTGTGTCCGTGCTGATATTAGACCTTCAATTATTCGACGCCATATGCTTTTTAAAAAAAATATGTATGTTCCAATCTTTAACAGATGATCGATTGATGGCGCGGCCCGTTCTTGTGGGTCCTTAATGGCCAAGAGAATCATAATGAGGTGTGAATAGCAGATAGATAACCTTATTGTCCGTAAGATCGCGGATACCACTTCTAACAACAGCTGTAGAACAACATGTATTTAAGTGCAGTGTCAATAGGGTTTGTCTGTCGGGGAAAATACAGATGTTTGTAAACGTCGGTGTGATTGTTTTGATAACTCGGGTTCGATCGTGGTATTGTTTATACATGACGGATAATTACAGGGAGAGATGCAGATTTACAGATATGATATCAATTACTTAATAATTGTACAGATATAACTATGTCAATTTGCTTAATAATCATACAACTTTCCTTTAATGTGTTTTTTTTAATTGTGCACATAATACTCTGTTAGTTTATTTTGCAATAAGATTTTGCTTAAAATATTTTAGAGGCAGATTTCTCCCGTTGATTGTTACCGAATTAGTATACAAATACATGCAACTTAACAGTAGGTACTACCAGAAAATGTGTTTAATCACTTCCAATCAAAGAACGAGGCTTCTGACGTTGTTCAAAAGATACACAAGTATAGACAAACAATTTCCTGACAAGATTTTCTTTATAAAAATTTACAAAAGGAAAGAGAAGATAGTTGCATCGATCGCTTTTCACGTGATGTGCACTAATGTTTGTTGGGGATTTTTAATGACAAGCTGTGGTTAATATAAGTAAAAGGATAGTGCGACTTTCTTTAAACGTGTGTACTTATCTACACTTATGTATAATACAGTACAAATATATTTAGAAATCCTCGGTGACAGTCAATCATGATTTACCCATGTCCAACCCGACATATGTATACTCCTTCAAAACATTAGCTTTTGTTACAGACACAGCCAATAAATAGAGATAAAGGCTACACACCATTATAAATGTACATTACTTATATCAAACGTGTGTGTCTACACATAAAACCACAAACCGGAAGTCTGGTTTACTATTTGACAGGTCTGAATTGACTGGTGAACGGATGCATGGGTTTAGAACGACATATTACTAACCCGGTGACAATGGGGCAAATTAGTCGAAGAAGTTGTTGTAAAGATAAATGGTTCACTACCATAATTCCACAAAGATGAACGTGTTTTTCCAATAAAACAAAGGAGTATGAATAGGGAATACATTTTGAACTAGTTTGTTATTCTGGTCTTGAAACCCTAGGACAATATATCACTATAATCTAAAAGACTTTATGGGCATAATTCGATCCCATAGGGCCCCAGTTTCTCAAAGTTTGGTTAGTGTTTACCAGTGGTTAAATGCAACGTTTGAATTGTTGCCACAGGGAAAAGCAAAATTGGCAATCCACAAATATCTGTATGTCCTGTCTAAACCAATTTTGTTTAATTCATATTTAAAAATCTAAACTACCAACTGGTAAACATCAACCAAACTTCAAGCGTTCTTTATTAAGATTGCAAGACAAAATGTTATAAAAATGGCAATAGTAAGGACGATACTAGGCAGTTTGTAGACAATGTTTTGGTCCAATGTGCTATAGAAAGATCAATTAAACGTTACTTAAGCAGACCAGTTCAAAACACGTGAGCAAAAGCTAGCTTTCCTGTGTGTGTGACTAGGTTTGATCAGTTATCATACTATTGGTATAAAAGCAGACAAAAAGTCGTCAAGGTTAGACCATTAAATGCTTTCAATTTCTCAACTCAGCAACATTCTAATCATGTGGTTTGAACCTCGGGGAAATAAATCTAATCCAGAAATATACCTTGTTGGGTTTGTTAGGTTTCAATCGACCGCTTTAAGACCTATGCACTGGAAAAGGTTAAAAATTTGAAATATACAGAAAAGATAATAGGGTTCGTCATGCTATCCTTATTATGCCTATTGTCAGGCAAAATCTGATACGGCGTGTATTAATGTATTAAAAACTAACGATACTTCGGAATTTTCGTGAAGAGATCATAGACTCGTTTTTCATAAATAATGTCAGTTAGCATACTCAGTTTAATTAGATCTGTAAAGACTTTTAAATATAAAAAAAAGTTAACACACATGTTAACAAAATCTTCCAAAATTCAAACTTGACAAATGAATGAAAGGAGGACAAGAACCTGGAAGAACATGGAAGGACACGTTTGAATAAGTACAAGACGAACTTGACCAGGTGTTCTAGAAGTGAAAGCTGTTTCTGTTTCATTGTTCAGATAGCCATGTAAATATCGATCTATCGAAGTAGGTAAAGACATGATCGCTAGTGAGAAAATGTTTATAACTCACGAACAGCAATGAAATTTAACTTCATTTTGAACTCATCCACTTCAAGGGTCTGTAGAAAAAGAAGTGAATACCCAATTTTATTTTCTTATATATGATTCTTAAATGACCATTGTATGTAATACTTTAGGTATATAGTAGTGTACCAACAGTCTAAACCACCAAATCTACCTGTAAAAGTAGACAAACTGTAAGTACATTAATTTTCATGTTTAAATTAAAATAGGAGTTATAGAAATAGTTCTATCTTTTAAAATACGACGCCCATAATTTTGGGTCCCACGGAAAAGATATCTTTTTTATGAAAAATGTGAAAAATCGCATCATTTTTTTCTGATTTCTATGATAATATATTTACATTGCGTTAGTGAATATTAACTAGTCTGTGTGTACGTGATCATTTCAACTCCTAAAGAGAAACATATCTTAGTCATTTAACTATTGAATTATTGTATCATCTTTGACTTTAATAAATTATTTTCGTGTCGTTCTATTCTTTTCATGCTTTCATCATTTAAGCTACTTATCCGTTTGTTTAGCATCTGCCATTTTCATAAACCAAATTTTATAAAAACAATTCTCAAGTTAATCCAGTCGAAACGACTAGATTTTCAGTCTCTTCTAAATCTGAAAAATAAACTCACAGAAACGGTTATATATTGTTCACAGTTAAGCCTAAACAATTACGTCTGATAATTGAAAAGACCGATGTTTTGCACGGTAATTGAAAAGACCGATGATGATGAGAAAAGTATGCTTTGAGTGAAATATATTTCATTGAACATCGTATTTCCCTTAGGAACTGATGGTACCTCAATTACATTGTTGATTAATCTATCTTTCGAACATACTTGATTTTCATGTAACTTATCTTTGATTAAGATATGTTGTTGGTGTTTGGTTAGCTTATGCATGTTTTTGATGCCTTTCGCCTTTTTATGCGTAGGTGGCCGTTGTCCATAAACCATTTCATAAAACTAGAGTGAATGATGAATAGAACATACTAGCACTGTTTTGTAGCCTACTGCGTAAGATAAATAGCGTTTTGGAAAGAATTAAAAAGTGTCAGCCATTCTGGTATTTCTGTCTTAACGAAACAATACATTATACACGTGCCATAATTCAACTCCTATATTGTAACAAGCGATATTTATATCTTCATATTTTGTTGTTTTTTATTGTGACCACATGTTACGTAGAGATAAATATCTGACAGGTTTCCAATGCATAAATGTAACGGAATTCCGATTACGTAAAACTATTGATTCAAAATTCAAAACTTTGCATACAACGCGAAAATGTTCCATCAGATATGTGCAGGATTAAAAAAATGCCATTCCAAAGAGCTGATTTAATGCTACAATATATGTTAAAAATGATTTAAAGATGTTTGATATTTGACTGTAAAACCATATACATTCTTAGGGCATTGAAACATTTTATTTTATTTCATTTTTTAAACATTTTCACTTATTCTGCTTGACATGCAACTACACAATACGGCTTCATAAATAATTAGCAAATAAATAGTAAACGATAAATATACTGGTAAAAGTTCATTCACATCACTGATCTTAGATAATATATATATACATGATATATATACTATCGAGCTTTTCATAAAAGGATTTTTATGTTTAAAGAACAAGGGTAGAAAAGACCGATAGTGTATATAGAGAATATCGAATGATTTCCTGTTTAATATATATTTCACGAGTATGACAAAATATCTATATTGTGTTATATGAGTTAAATACATATGATATTTAACGAGAAACCATAAAAATTTTACTTTTTTCTCATTTTAAAGTAACTAAAAATAAATAAATAAAAAGGCAGGTCTAAACAAAAAAAATGGATTGCGCAAAAATAAAAAATAAAAAGTTCGCGAAATAACAGCACACTCTGTGACGTCAGATAATTTGACGTTACGCTTGACAACAAGACGACGCCATTTCGGATAGGTCGCTTTGCGTTGTATTCTATAATTGTGTGTTATATGGTAACAATTGATAACTTACTGTTTTAACACACCAAAAAGGGGGAAATAGTATTGATGGGAATACAGAACCGAAAGACTTATAGTTAAGAATATCATGAATATGGTAAGGGAGATAATCCTACTTCTCTATAAAAACTTTCAAGCAATATTGTAGTTCCTTCTTCGACCGTAAACACCTATGCA